GATCATATCCTCTTAGTCTTCTCTCCTCAAGGCACGACATTCCCAATTTCTATTTTCCAGTTCTCCTGATTGTTGGAAAATTCCTGTGGGTGATTTCCAGTTTAATTTGCACCAGCATATTCCCAGTTAATACCTCTTGCCAGATCAGAGCAAGCCACCCAATCACTCCGTTCTGTTAGCAAAAATAGAGCTTGATGTTTATTTATTAAACATTAGCAAACATCCAAAACCATTAACTGTCAAAAGCCAAGCAAAAACAGGGAGAGAGAGAGAGATAAAGAAAGGCAAGAATTAATAAGGGCGGAAAGTGTAAGATTAACAATCAATATTACCTATATATCAAAAGGTGCAGAACTTTCCAGAGCTACTGGAAAGAATCTTGTAGGTAACTGGCATGGACAGTCCTTGTGAAATCTAATTCTGTTACTTTCAGACCATTTATCTAACCTAACAAGATCATTCTGAGTTTTATTTCTGTCTTCTAGGATATATTCACTGTTATTAGCTGTCCCACCTAATTCTGTTTTATTTCCAGCTTTAATAAGCATTTCCTCCATTTCTGCATCCAAATGATTAATAAAAACATTAAAGACTACAGGGCTGAGGACAATATCTTTGGGCACTCCCTCCATTTATGAGTTTCACTGAGAATGGTTTTTGAGCCTGCTATATATCCATCTAATTGTTGTGCCATCCAACCCACATTTAACTAGCTTGCTAATCAGAATGTGATACTTGTCAAAGCATTGCTGAAATCAATGCGCGTCTACCATATGTCCAAAATGTATTAAGGAAGTTACCTCTCAAAAATGTGATTAAGTTGACAAGACTTGCTCTTGACAAATTGATGCTGACTTTTGATAATTATATTTTCAGAGAGTTGCTGACACACTGATCTCTTTATCATCTGCTCTAAAATCTTCTAAGGGATCAGTCTGATTGATCTCCTTATAGAATGTAGATAGATAAGCAAAGCATCATCAAATGCTTTTAATGTTTACATTACTGTAATCTGTGGAAATGAGCATGTGTCTGTGTCTGTGATTTATTTTTATTTCTGTGTTGCTTTGTAGTCTGAATAAATGCATTTTTAACTGAAAATGTGACTACAAATTGGAATTTAACATTGTTACAATTTTGTCCATATTCTGTTATTGACCGTTAATGGTTGTCACAGTCTAAGGCTAAATAAATAATTGAAATTTTGCAGATTTTAATTATGTATAGCAATTACTTTGCATGGCTTAGATGGAACTTCTGTATTTATCTCATGAAGAAATACAGGAGTCTGTATTTCAGACTTCAGGAGTCTGGTAGCACCTTTTCCGACTAACACTCTTTATTGAAAAGGCATAAACTTTCATGAGCTGCACCTCACTTCATTAGATGCATCTTTTTTGCCCCCATAGACTAACAGACTCGTCTTTAGTACGCTGGCTAGGGAATTCTGGGAGTGAAGTCCAGAAGTCTTAAAGTTGCTAAGGATGAGAAAAACTGCACTATAGGATAAGGCAAGGCACTTCTTCTAGTCCCAAATGGACAGGCCTTTATAGATAATAACCAACACGATGAATTGTGCCCACAAATGAACTCCTATCGTCCTTTTCCCTATTACAGTTGAATAGTTTTCATGCCTTTGCTACCAGAAAGATATTACCGTACTGTATTGTGTCGTGGTACTTAGAGAGAAGCTACAGTCATTGCTTCTCAGGATGACTCCTACAAGCTCTAAGATTTATGTTCCATTCTGGAGGGAAAGCTAAAGATTATAGCCAAGATGAATTTGCAGCGCTATGTGGAACGTTCTCCATCTAAGCATTGAAAAGTAATTTATGTACAGACAACACAGGATAATTAAGCTTCACTGTGAACATTCTCCCCCTTTTTAATTAGCTTCATGTGAGTAATTTGTTGATGTTTGCACAGTCAGTTTAATTACAATAACAAGTTAGAGTTTGCCTGGAGTTTTGACACTGTGGGGCAATCATTGGGAAACTCTCTCAGTTTCTGTGTGCACATATTCGTACGGTATTCGTAAGTACAGCTTTGTAATTTTTTTTCTTGTTACAAAAAACTCGAACAGCTGAATGAGCCAGTGCACCAAATTGCTTCATTTTTTCCCTTTTTTTCTTTACAGAAGGGCTTGATCTGTGTCAATATTTTTTAATTGAGAGGTAGCAGCTTTTGCACAAAGTATTGCATCCAGATTAAGTTCCAATTTAGGATGCAGAATGAAAAGTTTATCATGATTTAAAACTTCATTGGAAACTCAGTGCACCAAAGTTCTAGCCTAAAAGAACCCCACATTCAGTGCTATTGTTTGTTCTGAATCTGTCCAACAGATATCTTTAAACGTTGCTACTTCTCACTGCAATCTCTTTGTCCTCCATCTTAATCTACAAATGATGCCTTTGTGGAAAGAACATCCAAGGCTACACCCTGAGGTCAGTAGCCTCTTCCTTTCTCCATGCGTAGACTGACTGAAGAATTTTCCTAACGGCTTAATATGTGGGGATATTTCAACTCTAGCAAACCTCGCTACAAAGGGCTGCAGAATTTAACACTGTTAGGGTTATGGGTTGTCCTGTTGGAAAGTTTTTTCATCCACTGGGAAGAAATTAAATCTCTTGGGGTTTTGTAGCAAACTTTGCCCAAGAATAATGATAACAGCAGCTGCAAGTCACCATTTTCTATTATTGTTATCCCCTGGACAACCTTCCATAGATTTTACAGCCTGCAGGGTGCTTTTTGTTTTTACTCTGAGGGATCAGCATAGCACAGCTTCTGAAGCCAAATATATGTCAGAGGGGAGGCTCAAAGATTAGGCCCTGCTTTGCATACCAAAAGTCTCAGAGAGTTCAGTCTCTGACATCCCCTGGAAAGAACTTTGGGCAGCACATCCTGGAGGACCACAATTGAGATTCTGGAGAAGCCAAGCAAACTCTTCTGGGCAAGCCCAAGATAAGCACCCCTTGAGGAAGGAGATCCCCAATTTCTTCTGCAAGAAATCCTAACATGGGCAATATTGCACATTGGAACTTCACTTGGAAGGGCTGGTTCCTAGAGGTAGCATATTGGTGGAGCTAACAGCAGAGTCCTCATGCGGCATTGGACCTTTTGGTCACACTGTAGTATCATACTAGACATTTCATTGTTGCAGTGGGAATGTCTAAGTCCCTAATGCCTAATTCTGATGATGCTCAGCACAAGGCAGAAAGTTACTAGCAGCTTCCAGAGATCCCCAGTGGGGCTTTCCTGATATGGGGGCTGCAACAAGCGCAAGACAGTGCAACCATCCCAGTGCCTCCATCGATGGTGGTGAGCAGGCAATGAAGCAGGCAGCTCTAAAACTGCTGGGCCAGAGTCTTGGGTTGCCGTGAGCAAAAGTGACTTTGTCCTGGAGTGGGAAAAGAACATACCTTTCTCTTTGACTTCCTTGAAGGAAAGATGGGATAGTTATGAGATATGAATCCTAAAAATGAATCCATCCTGTGGTCTGATTCGGTTTAAGAAGTCTGCTTTCAACGTTTATGTGGCTGCAAGAAATAGCTTGGGAAGAAGTAAACTGATAAGCTGAGGTGTTTCAGTCCCCTCCACTGTGGACATCTCCTGCGATGGAGAAGCCTGGAAGAGCCACAACTCATTATTCAAAAGTTGATGAAAACTATTTACAAGTGTCAGCTGATACCAAACAGCTTGTGCTCTTGGATTTATGCCTTTTATTCATTTTTCTTCTCTACAGCTGTAGAAACAAACAGTTTAATTCAGTTCTGCTTGTCTTGACAGGATCAAGCTTGACAACATAAATGTGATCCAAATTGTATTAGCCTCTCAATTTCTCCATTCTCAGGAGAAAATAGAATTACAGGGGTGAGGAGGGGAATGAAGCATAATGTGTCAAATAGGCCTCTTTCAACAGTAACGTTCAAGCTTAGGGTGAAATCTGCATAGGAATACAAAGGCATGCCTTCTGAACTTCAGGGTTCTTGAAATGGTGGCCACAGGAAAGCTGTCAAAACCATGTAGCACAGGAGGAGGGTATGCTCTAATTGAAGATGGAGTTTGTGAATGCGTGACTTTTGCATTCTCTGGTTTTACGTTTTGATTCTGATATTTTCAGGTTACTTTTTTCTTTCTCTGTGGGTGTTATTTTATGATGGGATTGTTAGCCACCCAGAGCCTTTGGACTGGGCTGCATAGAAATGAAATTAAATAGTAGAGAAAGAAATGGGTGTAAGGCGGAAGGAAGAGAACGATTTGATAGGTTTGATATGGTAGTGGGCTTGACGGTTGGGGTGGGGTGGGGTGGGGGG